GAGAGAGAGGGAGAGAGAGAGAGAGATAACTACATAAGAAAATATCATTGTTATTATTATTTTAAAATAAAACATAACGAATCAATTGTCTCCCGCTTGCCTTATCGAGGGCGAACTAGACTATCACTACACAATCTCTCCACTCCAAGGGACGCCTAAATCGAACCCACAATCAATACCTCCCAAAACTCACATGTCGATGCCCTTGCAGATTTTTGTCTCATCATCTCGAAACCTTCATTCAGAGCAAACCAAATCCCTGCACTCTTATCCCCATCACCAAACTCAACACCAATCTCCACCAATTCTATTTTGTCTCATATTCCCATCTCTTACCAAAACACCAATTATAGATCTCATCAAAGGTGCTGTTTTCGCATCTACAAACATCAATGTTGCCACCATTTCACTGCTCATCCACATTACATTGTTTCCCGCGTCACAATATCCAAAGGAAAATGGGATTTTCCTGCAGCCATGGCGAATGGGCCAAAAAGTCAACTTGCAAATCCAAACAAAAATTATTAATCAAAAGAACTAGAAACTTGCTATGAAGCTCCCTAGCTATTATATTTAGATATTACACCAAACAAACTTCTAATCGTCAACATTCACTCAATTTCACCAAACACTAAGGATTACTTTTTCTTCCGAAGATCTAAAGGCAACTGAAACTACTAGGATTAATTTTTCTTCATCTTAGTGTATCACAAGGTTCAATCAATTGTGAGATGCCTCCAAATTACTGGACTAAAAGCCCTTCAGGATAATGATTGAAAAAATATTAAAAAAAACTAAGGAATCAAATTGCCTTAAAAGAGTTCAACAAAAACTAAGTAGAACACAGAATATTTAGGGTTGCATTATTCAAAGTGTGATTGAGCTCGAGGTATAATCTATGACACATGACATCAACACATTTTTGACTGTAAGGTGCCCCAAAACTCGGTCGAACTAGCTTGATTCAGGCCAAGCACAAGGCTAACTAGTTTGTCAGTGAATAACAAGTGTTTTGTGATGCATTAAAATTCTTAACAAATGGCAAACACCAAATCAAGTTTCATGTGTGATTCCAACAAATGTCAACCCATCCTCTCCTTCTCCAATAGCCCAATCCTCAATCCAAACATATATTAAGACTCGTTTGAGTCAAACATGCATCAAAGCCTCCTCTCACGCTCCACCACTATATTTTATATTGCAAATACTTTTTAATGCTACTCCTGACAAACCCAGCTCAACTCCAGTCGCCCCAAAGAACTTGTAGACCACAATAGAATGATTGGGCGCATAGCCATCACCTCCATTGCCACTTGTGAACTGTCAAAAGAATGTGTGCCTCAATGGCCACCAACTTCCTACAACTCCGTCAACCATTACACCTACATGTCATGACCTCAAGATTTACATGGGTTCCTTCAGTGGATTTATCATATCCTGTTATTTGATTCAACCTTGAAGTCATGGTACATATTTAAGGGGTGGGTAATGTTAGGCATATGTTATGGGTTATATGCGTTGAAAAATGCAGTAACTATCTTAATAGTTTTTGTTTAGTGTTGACAGTTTGATAGGTTAAGTTAGCATTAAGTCTCTTGAATACTTTATATATCTCTCATTTGGTGAGTCGTATACATCAATGAATACTCCTCAATTCCCTAATTTTTGGAATTGTCGGCAAGCTTCAAATTATCATTTATCTTTCTTCAAAGGTTATAAAAAACTGACTAGGCTTGGATGTATCTGATCTAATTCAATCAAAGAAAGTAAATTTAGGTAAAGCCCAAATCAATCATGTTCATGTAGCTCTTAACACTAAGATGTTCATCAAACATCAAACTAGAGCAACAAGAATTTTAAAGTTACAATGGTGGTACATCCATGGATCCCTTAACGTGATTGACACAAACCTTAAGGCTATCGTCATCTCAACAGGAACGGTAAATCCCTAGATGCTTGGAGTCAAAATCCTTAGCATAGTAATTAAAGATGGAAACAACAACAACAAAGCCTTAATCCCACAACATGGGGTCGACTACATGAATCCTTTTTCTCAATTGTGTCTTATTTAGTGTCATATTTTCATTTAGTTCTAATAAATTAAGATCATTTTTTATACAATAAGCCCAAGTCTTCCTAGGTTTACCTCTGTCTTTCTTAACATAAATCGAATCTAAAACATCTACTCTCCTATCGAATCAGCAGATAGTCGACGTTTAATGTGACCAAACCATCTAATCGAATCAGTAGATAGTCGACGTTTAATGTGACCAAACCATCTAAGACGACTCTCTACACCAACCCTATCACAAAGATATTCATTTCGCATTTTGTCACTAAGTGTAAAGCCGCTCATCCACCTAATCATTCTCATCTCAGCAACACTTAACTTAGTATTATGCTTCTCTTTTAAAGGCCAACATTTAGCGCAATAGAGCATTGCAGGTCTCACCTCCGACTTATAAAATTATATAATAATGTAATGTATGTGTCCATTGCATTTACTTATTAAATATACAAACCTAAAAAATTATTAAAACAATATAATGAGTTATCTAAGATAATCCAAGAGCAATCACACTTTTATTCTACACTAATCCTAAAAAAATGCATTATACATGCTGACCTTCATTTTTATAAAAATTATATAATAATGTAATGTATGTGTCCATTGCATTTACTTAATTGAATTGCTTCAATCAACCAACTTGAATTCTACTATTAACATCCCCATCTATATCATTATCGCTTTGAATAACAGACCCAAGAGATCTAAATCGTTCACGTCTTTTAATAATTTGATCACCTAAAATTACACTTCTGTTACTAGAGACTACTAAAATTACATTCCATGTATTCAGTTTTAGTTCTACTCAAATGAAGGCCTTTAGACTCTAATGTAGATGCTTCAATCAACCAACTTGAATTCTACTATTAACATCCCCATCTATATCATTATCGCTTTGAATAACAGACCCAAGAGATCTAAATCGTTCACGTCTTTTAATAATTTGATCACCTAAAATTACACTTCTGTCACTAGAGCTACTACTACTAAAATTACATTCCATGTATTCAGTTTTAGTTCTACTCAAATGAAGGCCTTTAGACTCCAATGTAGACCTCTATAATTCAAGTTTTTCTCAGGTTTTTTCTCTCGTCTTATCCACAAGAAGGATAGCATCAGCAAAAAGCATACACCAAGGTACATCCTCCTGTAAATGTCCAATAAGACCATCCATAACTAAAGCAAAAAGATATGGGCTTAAAGCCGATCCCTGATGTAATCAAATAGAAATAGGAAAATATTTAGTCAATCCTCCTTTTGTTCAAACACAAGTAACAGCTCTCGTATACATGTCTTTATTGACTTGAATATAAGTCATATCAACACCTTTCTTCTCAAGAACTCTCCAAAGAATATATCTTGGAACCTTATCGCAAGTTGTTTCTAAATCAATAAAAATCAAATGTAGATGCTCCATATTAACTCTAAACTTCTTTATCAAACCTCTCAATAAATGTATAGCTTCCATAGTAGATCTGCCCCGCATAAATCCAAATTGATTATGAGAAATCTTTGTAATACGTCTTAACTTATGTTCAATTACCCTCTCCCATAATTTTAATGCATGACACATCAACTTAATTGCTCTATAATTTGCACACTCTTGTGCATCCCCTTTATTCTTAAAAATGGGGACCAAAATACTCTTCCTCCGGACCTCCACTCCTCAGGCATCTTTTTAGTTTTTAAAATAATATTAAAGAGTTTAGTAAGCCAAGAAACTCTCAAATCTCCTAAAAATTTCCACAATTCAATTGGGATATCATCAGGTCCTACAAACTTTCCACACTTGGTTTTCTTTAAGGCCTCCTCAACTTCTATTTTACTAAAACGATGGTAAACAATTCTTTTAATTCCCAAAGTGACCTCGCCTCAAATTAATAAAGCAACCTCAATGTGAGTTTTATTCATTCTAGCAATCCAAACTTTAAAATCAATCCAATTTTCTTCAAGTTTTGAATTACAAACTAGGAAGTCGGAAGTCCCTAGCAACCCTTAGTGCTTCACAAGCTTCCCGTAGGTTCCAATATTCTCAGAATAGGATAATGTCACATTTCAAAACATGGTATGCAAATGCAACTAAAGAGACAAGCATACCTACGCCAGGTCCCTTAACACAAGAGGCATATTTAGCACAAATAAATGCCTAAAGTCTATAGCCTGCCCTTTATGTAGATAACATGGAGAAGCTTTGATGTTTTATGCTTCAAATTTTTTGGTTACTAAGTTCGCAGCCTATATAATTAAGACAAACATAAAACATAAGATGAAATAATTCTTAGAAAAAAAATAAAGCACTAGCCACTTGATTACGTGGTATTGCCTCTGAACTCGAAAGGTGAGTTATAATGTTCGAAAAAAAAAAAATTATTAAACTATGACTCCCTTATGATAGTTTAGTCCAAGGTCCTTACAATGTACACCTCGTGCAAGCCAATAAACAGAAATCGCTTCAACAAAATAACAAAGAAATAATTTAATTCCCGAAACCCTTAAAAGATAATGCAACTTCCAAATCAAACATGTTTTCAGTGAACGGTCACAAAAGTTATCGCCCGTGCTCCCTCATTTCACAAAAGCACGCGACAGCCATCGATTCCGATTAATGACTTCATACAAAACCCTCACAAGACAGCAAACTTGTCCAGATCAGCAACCACCCATCCATAGCTATAGTTTCTCACATCCCACTCAACCGCCTCAACCAAATGCAGCCAGCACAGCAGCTTCAGCATCCCAGCAACATCCAAGAAAAACCTCTCATCACGACGTTTTTCCGATATCGACTAAAAGGAAAGAACCACGTATGCCACCAGCTTTAATTAGGTTCTCGTAAAAGGAGAAAAGATTTGATTACCTTCCAACAATAATCGAGGGAAGCCATTGGCAGTGGCGGGGGGGGGGGGGGGGGGGGGGGGGGGGCGCCCACACCGCAGGTGGCGGCGGCCGATTAGATCGTGACCGTGATGGTGGAGGTGAGAGGCTCGAGGGTGAGACGGAAAATCGAAAGCTAATTTTGTACAGTACTTCGGATTATATGATTATCGGATATGTGGAGCAGTACTAAACTTCGTATTATATAATTATCGGATATGTGGAGCGAAAATGACCCCTCATAATGTAGGCATTTTATGGCGGCACTAAAGTGTTCCCTAGCTATATCAATATATAAAATATTACATATAAATATATCATTAGTATAATTATTATTTTAAAAGAAAACATAATTTTCATAAATTTTTAACATCAAAAAATTATAAATATAGATATCAAATTTTAGATGTCATTATGGAAACTCATTGATATTATGTATTATATAAGCAAAAAAAAAATAATTTATTTTCATCTTCCATAAGATCTGTGTTTTAATAGGCATTATAAAAAAGAAGAACTTGAGGTATTTTCTATATTGTTGTATATTAAATGTTTAAGTAAAAAAATTATAATGAATATGTTTTAAAGTTGATATGTCATCAGCAATTTCTTTTTTCCAGCATGATCTCGAGGTATCACTTATATCTCAAGACAATTTTTTGAGCAAGAAATATTCAAACTTCAATTGAGAGTCATCCAGAGCTCTGATTTCAGCAAACTTATAGTCAAATTGGTCAGCTCAATGAGATAGACCCAATGGATATCAAAATTAGTTCAATACGACTCAAATCAAGCTCAGACCAAGTCATTAAACCACTCTTAAAAGATTTTCTGACATATTTTAGATTGTCAAATGAATGTCTAATCTAACAAGCCTATAGTCGAATCGAGTGTTTCGACAAAAAAAATTCAGCGAGCCTAATATTGCTCAATTTTAACCTCGTTAAGCCACTCAAATATCTATCAAACGTCATCTGATCGAGTGAAACTCTCCTAACTATTCAATTAAAGTGGTTCATATTCCTGCATTAATTGCACTCATACAACTATAAAAAGAGTCTCGTCCCTCTCATGACAGGGAGGAGAGTTTAAGGCTTCATAAAAAACCTAAAGCTTTTAGAATAAACTGACATCCAACACCACTCCTGTCACCGTTGATCGCCGCCGAATTTTCTAGCACGCATCAATTTGGCTTCATCTATGAGAAATGAAGCATTCTTGTAGCTAAAATGCTTGTATGAATAGTTGCATGGCCACTAGGGGCAACACTTGCAACAACAGAGCATCCAGCTACAACACCTATCATTTCAGAAAACAGTCGCAAAGCCAAGGTCATCAAGCATCTATATACTCCTACTCTAAAAGGCATTATCCCACTCACAAAGGTGTCTTGGGTCATTCTTCGAAAGATTGGGTACATAGGATGGAGGAGTTTCAACATGAGATCCTTCATCTCCTACGTGGGGAGTGGCAACTACAACCTAATGGAACTTACTTACCATATTAGTTCAATATTTAACAAGAAATACCCCAATCACCGGGTTCTCTCCTAATGATGAAATCATTCCCCTGCTGAGACGAGACATTACAAATTTCACTCATCTGTCTCATGTTGCTCACCAGGCACAGCCCCCCGCCTTACTGTCGCTTCTGTTGATATCATATGAGATGAGCTATGATGCTTAATCCGGGAAGAGTTCCCTCTGGATAAAATGGATTGCTTCCCTGCTCACCACAACTTTCAAGAGTCCTCTCATTTGGCTAACGTGGTTTTCTAACACCATATCTCAACAGGTTTCGAACTCTCACACATTGATGCCTATGAAAGGGTAACTGACCCATACGAGCACGTCGACCATTATCAAACTATCATGCACATTCACCGTGCGTTTGATGTGTTTCTCTATCAAGTATTTCTGACGACTCTCAAGGACCAAGCTAGCACATGGTTCTACTCTCCTTCGAGGGGGTGGGAAGGGGGCACCATCAACGGCTTTAATGAGTTTGTCAAATTATTCATAGAGCAGCTCATAGAAAATAAAAGGATCGTCAAAGTTCAGAATACAAGGGAATTGTGAATTGCAATCAGAAAAAGAATACACTCCACTCAACACATCACGTGTCGACATCCTAATGACTATCAAGGATGAAGATGTTTAAGATGTCATCAAGTGGCCAAGGCAGTTAAGAAATTCAGATGGTGGAGACCAATCTCAATATTATCATTTCCACTGTGCAAAAGGCTATTCGACAGAAAGTTGTTTTCAATTAAGAGAAGATATTGAACACCATATATGTTAAGATCACCTTGGTCGCTACTTACAAGAACAAGGTGAGGGAAACCAGAAGAGAATCGTCAGAGTTATTGAATGAGAAGTACACTCCAAATTATCTTTTTTTGAGTAAAAGACTGGCTTATAAAATTCTAATTTTTTTTTTGTTTTAAACTGTCATTTCAATGATTTTTTCTTATTTTCTCGTGAAAGCTTTTTTTAAAAAAAGTTCCCTTGAGGACAAGCGGTAGACAAGGTCCTCCTTCATGCCCTTGGAAGTCGAGCCCAAGAGGCAAGACTTGATGGGAAGATATGGTAATTCTGGAAGTCGAGCTTAAGTGTCAAGACTCAATGAGAAGCTAACATGCCCCTAGAAGTCGAGCCTACGAAACAAGACTCAATGGAAAGATACAGTACTTCTGGAAGTCGAGCCCAAGTGGCAAGACTCGATATGAAGCTACCATGCCCCTATAAGTTGAGCTCAAGGGGCAAGACTCAATGGGAAGATACAATAATCTTGGAAGTCAAGCCCAAGTGGCAAGACTCAATCAGATTACCATGCCTTTGGAAAATATGCCCAATAGGCAAGTCTCGATGGGAAGCTAGTAGGGGACATAATCCTCACTAAAAAGACTCCATAAAAACAAATGGTTGACAATGTCTCCACTCAAAGACCTCAGAAGGCTAGAAGCCTCATAAGGCACAGGTACATAAAAGACCTCAGAATACTACAAACCTCAGAAGTCACAGATACATCAAAGACCTCAGAAGGCTACATGCCTCAGAAGACACAGATACATTAAAGACCTCAAAGGGCTACAAGTTTCAGAAGGAAAAAAATACATAAAAGAACTCAAAAGGCTCGAGCCTCAGAAAGTATCAGTTCATTTCAAGCTCTCATAAGGCATAAGCCTGAGATGGCGCAACCTCATAAGACACAGTCTCAAAAGGTACGCAATTCTTCATTTTATAGAGGCAACCTCATAAGACACAAGTCTCAAAAGGTACGCAATTCTTCATTTTATAGAGAGTGTGTGTTAACTTTAATTACATTTGTACGATTGAGAAATCACGACAACCTTAAAAGCAACATCGAAGACATACAAAGAAATACATTATCATTATCTACAACTGTCACATCATATGATTAAAAAGGCTATAAAGACCAACAATAATTGGTACAAAGGCTGCAAAAGATATTGCTGCTATAGAAGCATAAAATTTCTCCCATCAATGCGCGACGGAAAAACCCTAGCAGTTCTTCTTCTCCATCGAAATGCACAGTGGCAACAAGCAGGAAGAACATGTTGCTTGCCAACTACGTAAGATGAGGATGACTTTCCTCTTCGCTGCAACACGGAAAAGGATCTCGTTGCTCGCCAGCTATGCAAGATGGGGATGACTTTCCTCTTCGCCGCAATAAAGAAGAAGATCTCATTGCTCGCCAGCTATGCAGAATCAGGACGACTTTCCTCTTCGCCGCAACAAGAAAGAAGATAGGACGACTTTCCTCTTCGTCGAAACAAGAAAGAAGATCTCCACTCTCCATTCTTTTCCCCCCTTTGTCCTTCTCCGCATTTGTAACTTTCACCTCATCCATGACATCTATTTATAGGCTTGAGATGAGTCATACTATTAAAAACAACTTATTAAAATAAAACTGAAATCCACCTTAATTTCTTTGGCATTTGGTCTTCCATCTTCTAGCTCTAGATCTTCCAGCTTCTGCCTTATGGCCTTCCAACTTCCTCATTTCAAAGAAAAAAAGGGTGAAAATTTTTTCATATTTTCACCTTCAACCTTTCTTATTCCCTCACCTAAAAAATAACAGCTTATTTAAAAAAAAAGAAGAGACATCAGCTTATTAAAAAAAATTGAAATACATCTTAATTCCTTTGGCATTTAGTCTTCCATCTTCTAGCTCTCGGTCTTCCGACTTCCGACTTCCGACTTCCTCATTTCAAGTAAAAAAAAAGGTGAAATTTTTTCCATATTCCCACCTTTAACCTTTCTTGTTCCCACACCTAAAAAAATAGCGGCTTATTAAAAAAAAAAAAAAGACATCAGTTTATTATAAAAAATTATTGCTCAAATTCCATTATTTTGGGTGGTTCGGCTGCTTCGGCATCAGCGATTGGTGGTTTGAATTCCCGCAAAGGCTCATGTGGGAATTTGAGCCCAAGCTCGGTCAAATCCGGCATTGTTAAGGCACTCAAATGTCCATTAAACACCATCAGATTGAAGATAGTTCTCCAGACCGTTCGATCAAAGTGTTTCATATTTTTGCATTAATTGTACCTACAACACTATAATTAGAACTTCACCCCTCTCATGTGGGAGGGGGAGAGCTTGAGATTTGAGGAAGAGTTTGAAGCTTTGAGAAGAAGCAGAAGTTTGCCACCATCACCGTTGACCGTCGTCTACTGCCGCCGACCATCATCAACTTTTACCGATCGCCGTCGACCATCACTGACCTCTGTCGATCACCGCAAATCTCCGTCAACCAACGTCGACCACCGCCAACCACCAGCTATCGGACGCCGCCAATTGCTATCGGTCACCGCCCGTTCCTAGCAAAAAATCCATCAACCCGTCGACGTTGTAACTTGGAAAAACTAGTAACCCTTCCCCGCCAACGAGACAAATGATTGCAAATATAATCATCTTTTTATAGTGAAACACTTTAGCTGGGCCAAAACTCGTGATTTTTCCCTTCCTGAATTTTCCATGTAAAAACTTCTGCTATCATTATCACTTGTTTTCCCTCTTTTGAGGTTGTGCCGAATCTTCGTACCACGCTAAGACAATAATCTGCTATTCTACTCCCATGACTTTTCTAGGACGCATCATATATAATTTTTTAAACAAATTAGGACTCAAATAAATGAATCAAACCGAACAAGGAGATGCACTAGATAGCCCCTTAGCCCCACCTAAGTGTAATCATTAATCTCACACGCTAGAGATTAGTTTGAAGTGTCGCGTTTAATAAGGCCGATCAACGCAAAATTATCATTATCATGAGGTTAGAGTTAAGTCTCTTTTTCATTAGACTATTTGTACGATGGCAATTTCCACTTACTATTATACCTGCACGCAACAACTTCGACTTTCCAATCTCTCAGATTTCAACAAATCTTGTAACACCAACCACAAATCACTACAAGGTTGGAATTAATTCGAAATATGCATTGATATGGGCATTTATATACATACAACTCGCATGTATTTACATATCTAATACCAAAGCTTTATTTCTTACATTTATACCACAAAATATTTCACATCACACAAGACATGTGAACTAACTGATTTGCACGCTCGCATGTCTCTCTGTGTGTACACAGATACGAATATATAAGAATTTATGGAAAATATCTCTTGTTGAATTGAGCCCACTTGTCAAAGAGCATGTCAAAGTGGTGAATCAAGCTTGCATGCCGATCCGATCGCTTCATTTCTCTCGAAAGATTAGCCTAGCTCACCTGCGCTAAAGCGGCTACCAGAGGAAGTCATCTTCACTGCTAAGAACATTCATTAATGTTTTACTAAAGATGTCGCCCGACATTTGGATTCTATCATTTCACCTAGGTTCTAGGTGAGGTTAATGTACATACAATACCTGACATCAGCCAGGAATACATATTATCCGATGCAACATGTACTACTTTAACTAATAAATTAGACAGCATTTAATGTAAGAAAAATATTAAATTAGAATTTTAGCAATCATTCAACACTTCTAAAAAAAGTTTCATTAAAAAATAGTTGATTTTCTAGTAACTTTTGTGATTCAGGAAAATAAAAAAATGTCAATTATATAATTACATACAGACCACCCGAAACTTCCTATTTGCAAATCAGCCATACTCTTTCATTCATTTTCCAAATTCTCACTCAAATATCAAATTTCATGGTAAAACCTCAATTCATAATTTTCATTTTATCAGTTTTGCATTTTTATCAAATTTTCAATAGTTTGATCGTGGCACACGTTAACACATCGATTCGATAGTTCAAAAAAATCACCTGGGTGGTTAATTTGAAAATATCAATATTTTTCATGGTCTGCATGCAATTATTCCAAAAAAAAAACAATATTATTGAATTTCCAATTAGCTCCAGGCAACTAAAACTTAAAATCATGATTTTGAGTGCAATATATTTGCTTGATCAAGGAAAGAATATTGTGCCCGGAATCCGGACGCAAGCTTGCGTCGGAATAACATACGCGATACACCCAAAGGGAAAAAACAATTGGGTGTATCACGTATCACGTTCGTTGTCCAGATGTAGCTTGAGTCCGAATCCTGAACATAATATTTTCTCTATGATCAAAGGGTAGGATTGATCAAAGGGTAGGATTGATCAAGTAGATCTCTCACCCAAGCCAGTGACCTTCAGTGCACTTGGGATGGGCACTCACTTATCATCTCCTCAAGGGAAAGTGAATACCTTTATATTAAGGGGGCATTTACATACCAAGCACACAATTCTTATTTATTTACATATCTCACATTTGGCCTTTTATATTTACACACATAGCACTCAAATCTTTAATAACGCATTAAAAACAATATTATCATCATTTTAAGTAAAATATACACCTTCTCATGTAAAGACGTGCCAAAGCGTTATGCATGCAAATATGGAAGTTTAGCTGTGAGTATATAGATTTCACTTGTATTATTAAAGGAGCATTTACATACATATCACACAATTCTCATGTATTTACATCTAGCACAGAAACTTTCATATTTACACTCAAATCTTTAAGATCACATTAAAAGTTCACTCGAGCTTTGTTCAAATGCAAACACTAGCATTGTTCGAACACTAACAGACTGCACAAATAATAATGCATGGCATAAAATTATAAATGTAAAAAAAAGTAAAGTCTTGATGTTAGATCTGTAAATACATAAGAATTAGATGGTATTTATGTTAATGCCCCATAAAATAAATGAACATATTCACATTGTGAAATCTGCTGCCAAGAAAGCCACAGAACAGCAAAGCGGGAATGAGAAAATGAAGGAAAATCGCAAAGAAGAATGCAAACAAGAACACCGAGAATTTACGTGGTTTAGTCCATAAGACCTACTTCCACGGGAGGGAATCAAGAAACAATTCATTAAGACAAAATCAAGGATGAACCAATCTCCTCAAACTCTCTATCGATCTTGATCTCGATACAAGCTTTCTTGATTCCAAGCCCTCTATCGATCTTGATCTCGATAGAGGCTTTCTTGGTTCCTCGCCTTGCTCTCAAAATTTCTTGCTCCCTTAACCATCTCAACTCATATACATCATTACATATATATAGACCAATGAACCATACAAGATGACTGGTTAAACACCTTTAAATAGCCAAATGTGTGGTTTACCCATTAGCTATTTAAACCTCCTTATAAACACGGCTTTGTCTTAGTTGACTTTGTCTTAGTTCACATAATTGGGAGTCACCATAACATAAAATAAACAGCATATAGCTGAAGGCCTCACACATTAGCTTGCTATGTCTAAAATACGTATCTGTAACTTCAAAATAAGAATAAATCTTTTTATTACAGAAGAAAAAGGGCAGTAAAATAGTATGTTTTTCACAATGAGCAAATCATCCTCACACATTAGCTTGCTATGTCTAAAATACATATCTGTAACTTCAAAATAAGAATAAATCTTTTAATTACAGAAGAAAAAGGCCAGTAAAATAGTATGTTTTTCACAATGAGCAAATCAAACAATTTAATCAAGCGCAATGCCATTGGAAAATATTCATGTCAGTCTATTCATGTACAAATTTTACAAACTTGGGGCGGGAGAGATGAAAAATTATTACTTGAACCCATGAGCTTCAGGTCTTAGATCATAAAGGAATACAGAAACAAAAAGACATAACAAATGCATCTTTACCATCAGCCTCCACATCAATGATAGGAAATTTCACCAACAATTCTCAATTTTAAAGTGACTTAGGATCAATTAGAAACGAAACCATATCACTGAATAATAGGATTGCACAAATTTGAGAAAATCAGAACAAAATTAAAGCGCAATGCCATTGGAAAATATTCATGACAGTCTATTCATGTACAAAATTTACAAACTTGGAGCGGGAGAGATGAAAAATTATTACTTGAACATATGAGCTTCAGGTCTTAGATCATAAAGGAATACAGAAACAAAAAGACATAACAAATGCAATTTTACCATCAGCCTCCACATCAATGATAGGAAATTTCACCAACAAATCTCAATTTTAAAGTGACTTGGGATCAATTAGAAACGAAACCATATCACTGAATAATAGGATCGCACAAATTCGAGAAAATCTGAACAAAATTATGAACCAAAAAACAATCAAAACAATAAAAAAAACACGTGAGAATATAATGCGGAAAAAACTCGAGAACGGGAAAAAACCATGGAGCTACACCACAAGAAAATTTTACCATGAAATTCAGAATATTTTCACAAAGAACTAACACCAATTTTCTCTCTACACACAAGGAAACTTACAGGATGTGCTCCAAACTCTTCCTGATTCGACCCGACGCGAAAAGCATATGTCAAGATCCCAGAAATCCTCCTCTCCGACGCTTCTCTCATTCACCAAGAACTTGTCGAAGAAGCATCACGTAGGAACTTCCTTACGTCGCTCGAATTCGAGACTTAAAACCCAAGAAACAGAGTAATTGCATCAGACGCAAAAGCACCTATCTCTTGGGAAAGAATTGAGTTGTGCCCAACAACTTGTACGCTTGTGCGCTCAAGAGGGACGCAAAGGCACCCCTTTCTCTATATTCGCCCCAAATCCACAAGAACAAACAAGGACTAATAGCGATTGACAACAATCAACAGTGATCGACGACGGTCGGCGATGACAAAAGTGATGTTAGACTTCACCTCCTTCTCAAAGCTTTAAGTTATTTCTCAAGCTATATATATATATATATATATATATATCCGGCTCATGCATAGTTGCTCTCCAAATCTGTCTCCATACATAACAATCAACATAAATGAATTCAGAAACAGAAAGTAGAATCGGATTTCTTCTTGATATCAGAACATAAATGAATTCAGAAGCAGAAAGTAGAATCGGATTTCTTCTTGATATCAGAATCCAGTTCAGCAAAACAAATATGTATCATCATAACACAATCTGTTATGACATCATCTTTATAAATACTAACACTGTTGTAACACAATATCGTGGATTATTGTCTCCAATGCATCATTCTTTACATTAGTCTTTTTGCATTCTATTTTCTTGTTCTTTCTTCCATACTTTATCATTAGAAACACATACATGATAAGAGAATTTTGACAAGTGGAATCATCACAAAACAGTCCTCAGCACTTCAAGGATCCACACTCTTCTCTTGATTTCTATTTCCTTTCGACCTTCTAAGGGAATTCTTAACAAGAGAAGTATATGTTGCAAAATCTGCAACCATTCCTATTTCCCCACTTATAATCTCACGGTCTAATTCTCCAAGCCTGCAATGCCCATTCAAGAGAGTATTATAAGTAACATCATCAGGAACAACACCAACATTAAGCATAGCATTCAGAAGTATATTTGCATTTTTCATCTGCCCCAGCTTGCAAAGACCATTCATGAGGATATTATACGTGACAACTCCTGGTTTAAGACCCTTACTTTGCATCTCATGCAGCAATTTAAAGCCTGCTCTCACCTCTCCTTTCTTACACTGAGCATTAATAACCAAATTATAGGTTATCTCATCAGGATCTACCCCAGAAATCGTCATCTCGTGCAGGGTTATAGCTGCCTCGGCCGCCCGCTCTTCTCTGCACAATCCTGATATAAGTGCTGTGAATGTGACCTGGTCGAGCGCAACCCCTTCAGCCACCATCTTCCGCTTGTTCTCGAGGGCCGTCTGGAGATTCCCACTCTTGCAACAGGCGTCGATAAGAGTTGTGTATGTCACCTTATCTGGCTTGAAGCCTCTTCTCCTCATCTCCTCCACAAGCTTCTCAGCCTCTGAAAAATCTCTATTTTTGCAGTGCCCGGTCAGAAGAGTGTTTAATGTGATCAAATCTGGCTGAATCCCTTCCCTTATCATTTTTTCATAATAATTCATTCCAACATCAACTTTCCCATGCTTGCAATGCCCATCAATCAGACTGGTGAAGGAGACCATATTTGGTGCGAGGCCTGTGTCACACATTTCATCAAACATCTTAGTAGCATCCTTGAGTCTTCCTGCTACACAATAAGCTCTGATCAGAATTGTGTAAGTGAAGACGTCTGCCGCAATTCCAGCCTGCTCCATCATGCACTTCATCTCCAACCCCGCATCCAAGTTGCCGCCTTTACAATAACTGTTCATCAAAGTGTTGAAACTAACTGCAGTATGCCGCAACCCACTTTTAGAAATTTCATCAAACACCTCACGGGCATTACTAAGCTTCCCCTCATTGCAAAATCGGTTAATCAAAACATTAAAATCTTGAATTTTAACAGGAAATCCAGCTTTGAGAATCTCCATCAGGAACGCATGGGCCTTGTCAGCCACAGGTAGACGGCGGACTAGAAGCGAACAAGCAGAAAAAGGGAGCGGCATATAATGGTTGCGCGCAAAGCGAAAGCACTGGAGGGCATCTTCGAAGAAGCCGGCATCGGTGTATGCGGCCATGATGGAATCCACAAGGACGGGGTGGAGGGGACCCGGAGAGGAAGCGGTGACTGCGAAGGAGAGGAGGGAGGTGGCGCTGGATTTGCCGGTACGGGAAACAAGGAAGAGAAGAAGAGGAGCTGCAACGGAAGCGAGGCGGTGTCGAATAAGAAAGAGTGACATGGAGATGTAAGAGAGAGGAGTGTGGAGGAAGTAGGGGGAGCCATGGGAGGAGAGGTGGTGGAAGAAGGAGGTGAGAGAGGATGGGGAGAGGCAGAGGGGGTTGAGGGATAGAAGGGAGGAGAAGAGGGAGGGAGTGAGAGAAGGAAGGAGTGGTTTGAGGGAGATCGAGAGAGGAATTTTATGGGAATTTTTTATGGCGAGGGAGATGGAGGTGAGGAGAGGGTGAGAGGGGTGAGGAGGTGTTGCAGAGAAGCAGGAAGAGGCAGGGGGAGAGCCGTTAGTGGAAGAGAATGTGAAGATTTGGTTTCGGTTGGTCATTCGAAGAACAAAAACTGCTTTTGCGCCTGTGATTTCATAGATTTGTTTTAACTCACAAAAATAAATGAAAGATAGAGCTCTTGATGGGCTGATTTCGAGGCAACTCATGACTCATGATTTCGAGGCAACTCATGACTCATTATATTTGATTTCGAGCCATAGGAGCACTAAATTAAATCCAACTCGATAAGGCCCTAAACCGAAACTGAGTTGTCTCAAATTTGAGTTATTTAGATCCATCCAGCTCAAAATCGGCTTGATCCTGCTTGGAATTGAAACAAGATGGCTAAGATTAAGTTATTTGGATCCATTCCGGGTCGAAATCTGCTTGTACCTCGTTACATTCAATTCTATTTAGCAATGTATATAATTTTTATAGATAAAATAATTCGAGCCAACCTCAAGCCAATTCGAGTTGATTCATGTATGACTCGAAATCGGTTCAAAAGCAATAGATACAAAGTTTTAGCTCATAGCTCGACAATTTACTTTGACCCGATCGATCTCGGTCCAAGCTAAAATTCGAATCAATTGTCATGATTTTCGAGATAAATTCATAGCTCTTGTTGTGGTTTTTTTTTTTAGTTTATGGTACAGACTCAACTTAACAAAATTATAGAATTTGATTGTTGAATTCATATTTATCTTACGAGGCATGCCGAACGATCAGAGCAGTATCAATCTTAAGGGAGAAAATGAAAGAGACTAAGAAGGAAATAGAAATAAAATACCACGCATATATTTATCTCGTAGGAGCGAACTGGGATATCCCTGAGCCCTTTGCCCCAATTTTTTATATAGAATATATGGATTACAAGATAAGAGGAGAGAGATATCCTTATAGAAGATGTGTCTAGAAAAAAAAAAATGCCAGAAGCCCCCTCCTCCCCATACATAGTATGATTCCTCTATTTTTAAGAGATAGAAGGATCAAAGTCTAAATGTACATACTTGCCTCTATTTTAATGGAAGAGTTAAAGGTCTTTATGATGTTTTTTTTATGGTCCCTACTTTAATAGGGGGGTTACAACTACTTATGGTGCATTTTTATGGTCGCTGCTTTAATAGAGGAGTTACAAGTCTTTATGGTATATTTTTATATTCATAGCTGATTTTTTGTATCATTTTATCATTTATCTTTTTATATGGATCATTAGATTTTCTCAAGATTTGTGCAGACTATTTTTGGGAGTACACTAACATTAAGGACCTGTCTAACTACATCTAGGATTTAATTCAAATAGAATTTGATAAATTTTAAAAACTTGAACTCATTAATTTAGAATTATTTGATGTAATAATAGTTAAATCTTTGTGAACTATTTGGCTACATAATTTTGCTTCCGTCCTCTTCTAAATAATTTATGGGACTTTCTTATACATATATATAGATACACACACACATATATATAACCCTCAAGCGGATAGAAATTCGTCCAAGAAATGTTTCATTCAATTTGAATCATGTTGTTCTTATTATCATTTTCTATGATGACAAAGGTAAAAGTTCAACGAAGTATATTTACTTTTATTTTTAATATTCCTAATGATAAAAGTTTATATGAGCATCAATATCTTCCTTTTTTTCCATATTTCTAGGGCAATCATTGACAAACTTATTCTCTCCATAATTAAGGAGGTTGTTAATCATGCCGCATTTGTTACTACCATAACAATGTCATCTCTTGTGCACAACAAATATGCCGTGCAACTCATTCTAAAAATCACTCCCAATACCTACCCATCATGTAGAGTTCAACTTTACTTTTATCTTAGAGGATGCAATCTTCTTGAGTATTTTGATGCAACCTTTCCCAACCACTGCCTATGATACCACTTTTAAATCTACTTCACATACCTTGTATTCAACCTAATCGTCTCTTTTTCAATATAATGTTCACCTCTATTTGAATCTCTTATCGCTTGCACCTCCTCCTTAATATTGGCTAAGAGTGTATATGATATACTTGTTGGTTTAAATGCAAATTAAACTTACTCCTGAAAATTTTTATCAACTAGCACTTGTCAGCAAAATTTTTAAAGATGTGATATCATTCATCATTGTCTTAATGGTATTCTATTTAAATTTGAGAAGATATATGGTGTTATCATAAAGATATATTCATCATTTGTGCAAGAGATCAACTAGTACCATCCAAAGCATTTCGTGGCAACTTTATAAAGTATGGAGATTGCATAAATGCACATCAATTTATGCTAGTTCTCTTGTTTAATTACGATCAATTACTCTAGAAAATACAGTTATCCTCACTATAATAGATATAATAATTCTGCCTCAGCTCAACATTTCATCACATTAAAAAATTGGACCGGTCATCATATGTCAACTTTGAGATCTCTTTAACCATAGTATTAAATGCTTTCAAACTATCCAACTTTTTGAAGATACAACACAGATAAAATAATTGTGTGAATCATTCCACGGTCAATAGTGTTACTTAGCTTCTTAACATCAATGCATCACACCATGTTACTATTCCTTTGACATAATGTTACTTCACTTGGAATATGTAGTTTCTATTGACATTATTAAAGGTAATGGATTTGCGTTAAAAATTACTAAAGTTTAGAAAATTTAACTTACCTATCCTGGACAAACATATATTACGCATATGTTTGTTATATACATTCAATTAAACATAATTTTAACTTGTTCTCTAAATTTTGTAAATTTAATTAAGTTTATATTAAACTCTCACCCTTTTGTTTTATGGTAAAGGATCTATATATGAAGTGAGAAAGCCGAAACAAAGAAAAAAAATAAGATTTCAATTCGTTGCCTTTATTACTATTAAACTATCTGCCCGTGATTGGCTTCATTGCCTTGGCCATTCATCCCAAAGTTCTTTAGCATTCTCTTCGCCACCAGACATTATTTTCATCTTCATAAAAAAATTTTCACTTAATTTCATGTGATTCTTGCTCCTCTAATAAAATTTTATCAACTTTGATTGGTGTTTGAATACCACTAGCAAAGGTCCTAAGACATTCCATTTATGAAGCATATGGGACTGGCTTATATAAGCTTAATTGAACAATTAAGATTTTATGTTTTTTTTTTTTGTTTTTAAGAGGTTTTGTTCAAGTTTAAGCTTTTTTACTATATAACTTGTCTTTTGTATGGCTTTATCTTATAATTGGATAATCCATCAACTCAACAGTAGTAATGTTTTTCTCTAAGGCTTGACTAAATTAGTTTTCATGGGTTTACCTCCTGAGCTCATTGACAATTCAATTCTTATGCATGCAAACTATGCAAAGTTATTATCGATTCAAAAAAGCTCAACAAGCCTAATGTATTGTACGCAGCACATTCTTAAGTGGTCATAGATTTTGCAACTCCAAGTATCATTCTTCATCATTTTTTTTCAATCAAAATTTCATGAAAGTTTATTTTTAGTACATTGATAATCTCATTGTCACTTGTAACAATTAAAGCTTAATAAATAAGTTCATTAACTCCTCTCCACTAGTTTGAAAGTATGTAAATGGGGTTTCTTCATTACTTTCTTGTAGTTCAGATTATTCCTAAAAAATTTGGTGATTTTCTATCTCAAGAAAAATATAATTGATTTATCTTTTACATAACCAACATAGAAAAAACAAAAGAGAATGATTATCTCAATCCTCCTATACCAACCTTAAACTCAGTGATAACTCTTCTCCCATTAATTTGACCAAGGGACACATCACAATTAGACCATTCAATATTTGTATCGTGCTAATCTTAACATATTTGTTGTTATTAATAAACTGCTTTAGTTCTTGCAGCCACGAGCAAAAAATCTCTAGACAATAATAAAAAGTTTTTGAGACATCGTAAACAAACCACTCATCATTCAATTTCTACAAAAAAATTGTATAATGGGTTTTCATTGATTTTCCAATATATATTGAATTGTTTTCCCTCAAGAATGGATTGTGTTTTCTACCTTGGCACAATTCAATCTCCAAGTTATCAAAAAATAATAATTTATTGCTTGCTCACTTAGATTAGTCACCATTAAAGGCTTTTCCTTTAAACATTAATGATCAATCACCATTGAAGACTTTTCTAGTATGTACTTCAGATTATTATGTTAGCCTATATTGTAGATTTTTTAGTAGTTTTGATTTAAATTTTTTATTATCATCATTTAGGATTGTATAAAAAGAACATTTTTTTTAATAATTAGAAATTTAACTCCACCCTTAACACACGCCTCAAACTTCAATTTTTAACATTATAAGGGTCTTATTCAATGATTTAATTTTTTTTATAATGTAGAAGCATATTTTTAAGTTGTGAGAAGGGCACAACTATAATCCATAATAGATCTTGGTCATTGACATCTGATGTTCATATTTTTGGTCATCAAATTTCATCCTCCATCATCTAGCTGTTGATGTCAACATTCAACTTCAATATCATGTAAGGCTCACCACTTGATGGCAACTATAATTCCTAAAATTCCTTCATACAAACATAATGAATGCCTCTCTTGATTCAAGTTTATTAAATTATATTAACAAAATTTTCAATAATTAAGAGGATACTATTTGTGTTGCTTAACACATACTTAGAGACTATTTTTTAAATTCAACAATGCATCATGAAATTGTTTACTATAATATTTTTTTGAAGACATAATGATAGAACATTGGAAAATATTAATAGTAGTTAAAGTTTGACAAAAACATTTGTTATAACATTACATCAAAGAACATAATTGAGTTCATATATTGTTGTATAGCTTATAAGATGCTTACAAATGTTACTCAAAGTAATATTATTTAACAACTTTTTCTAATAAAAACTTGTAACCAAATGCAAATTATACACTCACAACAATGATGATGATAAAAAATTAAATGATTGCAAAGATCCATAAAGAAATCAACTAGTAATAAATTATTATATTCTTCCAACACGCCTTCCAGAAGATGGCTTCCCGAGCAAAAATATAAACAAAGGGGCCATCTCCTTTATAGTAATATGAGAGATGAGAGATTCATAAAGGCTTAGATTATTGACTTCATCTATGTTTGGTGCAGCTGCATCTTCTCACTTTTCACCTCTCGTCAACTCACTTTGATCAAAATTCAGAATATAATTCACATAGCCACCCAATCGAACAACTCACTTTGATCCCCTTTTGGTCATATGAGTTTTTTTAATGATTTGAGTTCTTTAATAAACTAAGAATTGAGTGAGCATGAGTTCGTTTGTTTCTTCTCTTCGATACACTCGATTTGACTATAGTTATGCTAAAGTTATACTTTAATTGACTGTTCAATTAACCATCCAAAGCCTCTAAATCTGGTTCAATGGCATGATTCAGGTTATATCAATGGGCTCATCTTGTTGAGATGGTTATTTTGACTATAAATTTGTTAAAATCAAATCTTTGAATGATTTATAATTTATATCGAAATATATATATTTTTTAAACCACGCATTGAGATTTATGCTAGATGATAAAAATTATTAATGATGCATCACATTTCTTTCCAATTATCTCAAATTTTATTGTCAAAAAAATATAAAAATTTAAAATATCACCAACACATATTAATTACTCAAATGTGATGAAACTAATTAAATCATTTCAAATTATTTTTAATAAAAAGATATTATAATAAAAAAAAAGTCACGATTGTTGTCTTTTTAAAATCATTTTTTTAAAATTGACATATTTAAAGTTTGATATACTCATAACTTATAATTCTGGCATTTATACGTATAGCATAAGTTCAATAATTTTATTTATTAATTTGTTATGAAGGCGAGAAGATTGAAATTAATGAAAAATTAAAAAAATTTAAAAAAAGTGCCGGCGACATTCGGCTTCGATGCGCTACAATGCCCAGAAAACGCTTATTAAAGTGCTCCTCGCACTGCTCCATTTCATGCAATCTTCTTCCCTGAACTCTCTCTCTCTCTCTCTCGCTCTCTGTCTTCCTCACAGTGTGATAATGTCACTCCTTACAGATCTCATCAACCTCAACCTTTCAGATTACACGGACAAGATCATTGCCGAGTATATATGGTGCGCTTCTTCACTCATCATACATCTCTCTCTCTCTCTCCCTCTCTCTCTCTCTCGGTGATTGTGCTCTCAAAAAAGTTTGTTCTTCGCGAACAGCACTTGTTTGGCTCGTTCAGTAGTAAACGAGTCGAACATGGACAACTCTTTGTTGGTTAGTGTTTGGCTCGTTTTAGCTCGAAAATAAAAAAAAATTATATAATTATTTCTATGATAATAGATTACATATACTATTTATATAATAATATATTATATATATTTATATCTAAGTTCAAAACTTAATTGTTTGTGTGGTAATGTGGTCACGTGTCTTTTTTTTGCATACATGTGCTTCAGTTTTGAATCCAGCATTGTACATCTATTTTTTTAGTTTAATTTTAACGAGCCAATTTCGAGCCGAACAGGAGCCGAACACGAACACGAATATTTAAATCGAGCCGAACACGAACACACTGTTCACGAGCAGGTTTCGAACACGAGCTGATTTCGAACACGAGCAATTTCGAACGAGCCGAACAGGAGCGCAGCCTGAGCTCGCTCAAGCTCGGCTCGTTTACAGCCCTACTCGGTGAAGACTAGAGCTGTGAATTTCTCTCGAAGATTGTTGATTGCTCGAAAATTAATTAGAATTTTGGCTCGGATTAAGATTGGATTGAAGTAAACGAGCCGAGCTACGAGTCAAAATTTTGAATCAATTTTTTTTACAGTCGGCCCAAACTTGGCTCAAAATTGGATCTTTGACAGCCCTAGTGTATTAAGACCGTGAATTTAACAAATTTAGCTTGAAGATCATTAATTGCTCAAAAATCAATTCAAATTTTGGCTCGGATTGAGTTCGGATTGAGATAAACGAGGAGAGCTACGAGCCTACATTTTGGAATGATTTTTTTAGTCTATTCTGAGCTAATCCTAGCTCAACACAAAATCAAATCGTTAACAATCCTAAGAGATGTAATTCTGCTTTTATTCTTGCTTATCTTGCTTCCTCTGTTTTGCAACATTTAAATTGAGTCTTGATCTGTGTTGCTTCAATAATTTTTCTTCTTTGTCTCCTTTTATACATCAATTTCTCCTGTGGCCTGCAGGATCGGAGGGTCTGGTCTGGACATGAGGAGCAAAGCAAGGGTATAATTTTTGTAACCAAATTTTTAAAATAAACCCAATAAAATTATTTTATATGAAAATGGCATATAAAAAAAACGGAAATTTACATAATAAGCACCCAATTTTTATATGTAATTATTATTTGCAACAGACTCTTCCAGGGCCAGTGAGTGATCCCAGCGAGCTACCAAAGTGGAATTATGATGGCTCCAGCACAGGCCAAGCTCCTGGGGCAGACAGTGAAGTGATTCTGCAGTAAGCCTCTTCTTCTCTCCACATGTGCTCCAGTTACCATGGATGCACCTGGTTTCTTTTGAGCAAGATTTACATACATACCTCTCAAATATTTTGACTTGCATTTCCAACACCTAAACTTCAATTTTTAGGCACATGCCACCTTACCTATGCATGAAAAAGATGTATTTTTTTACTTTAGGTGTTTGATTGTAATTACTATTGTTCATTTGCAGCCCTCAGGCTGTCTATAGAGATCCTTTTAGGAGGGGAAACAACATTCTTGTAAGTTTTATAATTTATTGCTTTGGATTTAATTTCATTACAGCTGATTAATCTTACTTGAGTAAAAAGCTACTCTTTTTGTTGTGCTTTTTCAATTTGTTTTTTGCTACATGTAGGTCATGTGTGACTGTTACACCCCGGCTGGAGATCCAATCCCCACCAACAAAAGATTTAATGCGGCTAAGATTTTTAGTCATCCTGATGTAGCTGCAGAGGAGCCTTGGTAATCATTTAGAGCAGTTTAAATCTTGTTATTGACAATCTTTCTTATGCAATAATGATTTTAAATTATTTATCTGTGTTTGACTATTTGCACTTTCAGGTATGGGATTGAGCAGGAGTACACCCTCCTTCAAAAGGATATCAATTGGCCCATTGGCTGGCCACTGGGTGGCTTCCCTGGTCCTCAGGTGATAAATAATATAATTTTATTTCTTAGGGAACTTTGCATTCGTAGCACACCAGTTTTATGTAATTTACATATCTTACACCTACAGTTTCATATCTAAATACGTAGCAATTTGGTGTTTTAAAGCAATACATGAAAGACGTGTTTCACTATCAAAAAGTTGGAATAGTGTGTGTGTGTTTTTTTTTTTGGGTGATATTAAAGATTTGAGTGTAAATCTGTAAGTTTAGGAGTGAGATATGTAAATACATAAGAATTGTGTGCTATGTAGCTAAATGACCATTTTTTTTTATTATTGGTATAAAAAAAATCTTTTTTAGAATATTTGTAAGATTCGGAACTCTCTTCCAAGGATATCTTGTCCGATTTGGCCTAGTGGCCTCATAATTTTGTCCCATTGTTGTAGTTTCTCTGTAGGTCATCCATCTTAGAAGTGCTCTTACATTAGCTCGCTTAATTTTGTACTTTCTGATGTAATTCCAACAGTTACATCAAAATATGAATTGACGTTGAAGAGTTTAGATTCATTCTACTTAAGGGGTTTCACAATCCCCTCACTTAAACAACTGATGTTCTCATCATTGCTCTCAACCCTGAATCATCCACCAGACAAATACTCTTACCTTCATACAAACATAATGCTCTAGTAGCATGAATAATGGGCTGAGAGCTTTGTCTTAAACTTTTTTCTTGAAAATGTGCATTTTATATTACTATATTAAAATAAGTACAAAACTATACAGGAATGCATTTATGATGTATAAAAGTGAGCCCTGCCATCTACAGGTATGGCAGAAAGGTCTCTATCATCATCTATATGCATAAAAAAGAAAGAGCCACTAAAGGCACACCTAAAAATGAATGGACTGAGAGCTTTGTTTTAGTTCTTTTTTCGATACAATAATGATACAAATGGCTTAGAGCTTTTTCTCATGCAAAACTGTTTGTGCTCTTTGTTTGTTGCTTTAGCTTGCATCATGTATATCTTTATATTTTCTATATAATTTGTTAGCAATTACTGTCAAATTACTTGCTGTCTCTATTAAGTTATGATAATCCTTTTTTTTAGGAAAACAATTAATTATGGCATAACATTAAGCTAATGCGATCAAATGTCCACCTTTTGTTCCTTCCACTCAAACTCATCAGCATAAATTTTATAACAGGGGCCATACTACTGCTCAGTCGGTGCCAACAAATCATTTGGTCGTGATATTGTTGATTCCCATTACAAAGCCTGCCTATATGCTGGGATCAACATCAGTGGCATCAATGGAGAGGTGATGCCTGCTCAGGTAATTAAATTCTTTCTTTTATTCCTTTTTCTCAATCGATAAAAAATTTATCTTATGTTTTGAGTGTTGTGTGTCACAATATGAAAATTTAGATATGAGATATGTAAATACATAAAAATTATGTAGTGTGAGAAATATAAATACATTAAGAATTATATGTAGCATACAACTCTTATGTATTTACATATCTCACAGCTAAACTTTCATCCCTTCACGGACCGAACTACCCGCCTTCCTCTGCTCCATCGCGGACAGTTCCTCCTCCGTCTCGCCGAACCGCACAACCTGCGGCTAAAAGTTTTGGTGCGAGATTTGTAAATACATAAGAATTGTGTGATATGTTTGTAAATGCCCCAAATGAAAATCATGAATGTTGTACTATCCTTGCAGTGGGAATTCCAAGTCGGTCCAGTCGTCGGCATCTCTGCGGGTGATCAGTTGTGGATTGCCCGGTACATTCTCGAGGTATATACAAAGCAACTACATGAATTCTGTGGCAACTCCTTTCATTATTTTTACGAACTTGAATGTCTAGTATTGCATTGCTGACCGTTAACTTTGTTATTTCTGTAATCAGCGGATCACTGAAATTGCTGGGGTGGTTCTTTCACTTGACCCAAAGCCTATTCAGGTTGGATTCACTTGATCTTCCATTTGTTCATTCTTCATAGGATTGCGATTTATGAAACTGTTCTCCATTACTGAAAACAAGTTCTTTTTGCGTGCTTTAATATGAAAAATCTTGAATTTATCTTTCTAATTTGCTTTAGGGAGATTGGAATGGCGCTGGTGCCCACACAAATTATAGGTAAAAATGTCAATATGGATCACATAATTGCAATTTTTTTATTGAAATTCAATTTGTTGTTTCAGAACTCTGTGAGTTGCTAATTCTTTAAGAGTTTGTAATGTTACTTCCAGCACAAAATCCATGAGGGGTGATGGGGGGTATGAGATGATAAAGAAGGCCATTGACAAGCTTAGCCACAGGCACGAGGAGCACATTTCTTTCTATGGCGAAGGCAACGAACGGCGCCTCGTTGGAAGCCATGAAACTGCTGATATCAAGAATTTCTCTTGGGTATGCTTCCAAAATTTGTGATTAAATGCAAAATCTAAGGAAGAATACACCTATCGCTTCAGAATATCCTATTATAAAGGCATTTACGTACATACCACATTATTCTTATGTATTTAGATATTTAACAGCCTAAACATTCATATTTACATGCATGCTACTCAAAGATTAAATGCAAAATCTAAGGAAGAATACACCGATCGCTTCAGAATATCCTATTATAAAGGCATTTACATACATACCACATTATTCTTATGTATTTAGATATTTAACAGCCTAAACATTCATATTTACATGCATGCTACTCAAATCTTTTAACATCATAATAAAAAGTATCACAATCACTTCTCTCTTAAAAGTGAAATACACCTTTTCATGCATAGGTTTATGACAAGAAGGTTTTCTGAGTGTATATATCAAACCTCGTGTGTTAAATATTTAAATGAATATGAATTTTATGGCATGTTTGTAAATTTCCCTATTATGAATTAACCTTTGAATGCCATGACTTGCAGGGTGTTGCGAATCGCGGCGCATCAATTCGTGTCGGTCGTGAAACTGAGAAGAATGGCAATGGTGAGCTTCATTGTTGTATCTAACTTCAATTGATCTTGCTAGACACCAATGGCGGAGTCAGAGGGTGGCTGAAAGGGGCATGCATCACCCTCAGAATTTTACCAAACTCTTTAATATCATATTATATGTTACAAATTTGGTCTCTCATAAACTTAAATATTTAATAATAATTCAATATGAATTGTATTTTTAATTAAATATTCATGTTTATAATAGTATTAAAATATTTTAGAAAAGTGGCTCTTTATACATAAATACTCATCTTCTCTCTGCTTAAATTTTAGTTCCGCCACTGAACTGTACTTGTGCTTGCAGGTTACTTCGAGGATAGGAGGCCTGCTTCAAATATGGATCCCTATATTGTGACATCCATGATTGCTGAGACAACCCTTCTCTGGAAGCCATGACAAGAAGAATTGATATCTATGATTGAACATTTGTGCTTTATTACTGAGTGGTTTTATTATAGACTTGTCTTGTCTTGTGATGGATTTAATGGTTTTTTTCTCTTTCTTTGTTTTTTATATAGGAGGCAGATGAAAAACAATTGTGTGATGACAATACTGTTATCCATTTGCCTTTTCATTTATGTATCTACAATTCTTCATGTGATCTGAAAGATAGTTACTTGAAATGTTAAAACGTGATAAGCAAGGTTCTATTTTTTTCAAATCATTCTAAATCTGTAAATTATTTAATCTTGTTTCTTCAGTTTCTTATCGATATAGTTGAATGGTGAAAAGAGTTTGAAATAAATCCCCAAACTTCAATGTTCTCTTTTTACCAATAGGGCCTTAAATAAGGTTCACTTCTCAACTCTCCCCCTCAAGATAGGTAAAAGATATCCACTAAGCCCATTTTGTCACATAACCTTGACAAATCTAATGAACTAAGTCCTTTAGTGAAGTAGCCAGTCATTTGCACCCTGGCTACTACATGGCTTAGCTCCAGTAACCCGTTATTCTGATTTTCCTCGATGAAGAATATATCAATCTACATGTGTTTGGGTGTATCATGTTGTAACGTGTTGTTGGCAAAGTTGATTACTGATTTGTTAGGCCACCTTGAGCTCAACCAACAAGGCTCTCAACCACAGTTTCTTGATAAATGATGCGCGGAAACTTGAGATTAAATTAATAATATATATGCAATGTAACCCAAACAATAATTTAACTTTAATGAAAATAATTTATCTTTAAAACCTCTTTTAAACTCCAAATTCCCTTCTATATATAACACAAGTATACGCATCGTTCAAGTAATACAGGGTTCTAATGGAGTCCGAGATATCGATCCCACAGAGAAGCTGGAAATATATATAAACTAGCTGTTAATATACTATTCTTAAATTAAAATAAAAATAAAAACAAAGTAAACTACGAAGTTTGAAGCTAAACTACTCAGTGAAATGCTACTAAATATGCAAATGTACGACTCAACAGTTAAGTTGAACTAGATGCTAAACTTTCATAAGTAAAATTCCTGAAATAAATTAAAGGTTTTTGTTCACGAAAAGTTCAAGTATGAGAAAACACTCTTCCCCTTTACAATGAAAATATGGCTTGTGAAGAAATTGAAATCATTTGAAAAATATATTTAAAAACTGTTTTGTGTCAAATTGGAGCAATCATATTCTCTACCCTCTTCCGAGCGCTATAAAGAATGTTGATTAATCCAGAGTTTAGTCTTTAATTCCGTGGTTAGGCTGGGAGGATATCGACTGTCACTCAATAGCTCCCACTACTCTCTCACCTGAGGGCTAACATGCTCGCATTAGTTTTGTCAAATTGGAGCAATCATATTCTCTACCCTCTTCCAAGCGCTTTAAAGAATGTTGATTAATCAAGAGTTTAGTCTTTAATTCTGTGGTTAGGCTGGGAGGATATCGGCTGTCACTCAATATCTACCCCTCCTCTCTGAGGGCAAACATGCTCACATTAGTTTCCAATCAACTGAACCAAATTGGGGATTTTAATCTGTCACCTTAAAATCTTTCAATTCTACATCCATTAAAGTATATTTCCTTATTTATTTGCACCCAATCCCATCAATGAAATAATCTCCCATGAAATCAAGTGTGATGCTACCTTTATTATAGAAATCATATCCCCTTTTTAGAACATATATTTCTCAACACATTTTAACAATTCAATTTGCCAAATAGAAAAGTAAATGAAGATCGGAGTTCAAATTATCACAAATTATCGACGTTTAAAATCGTAGAAAACAAAATCAATTCTTCGTAAAACCATTTCTTCAAAGTAAGGAGAATGATAAATAAGACTACTCAGAATTCATAAGAAGGATACGATAAAACACGGACTTCATATATATTTACAAACAAAAGAAATGAAAAATACAACTTATCTCACAATCCTTCCCAAGAAAATCTCTAGAAGTTCTCTCCAAGCCTTTCTCTCTTTACAAGCACTCTCAATTCTCTCTTAGAAGTGTAATGAAGATAAAATCTCTCAGTTTCCCTCTCTTCTTGCAATCCTAGAAGGCAATCACCAAGCCCTTGACTTTCTCTCTCTGTCTCTCCCTCTTGGTTCTCACGCTACCTATCTTTTTTCACCCCCTTTAGAAGTTCTTCTTAAAATCTATTTTATTTTGGGCTGCCTCCTTTGAGAAGAGTTTCAATTTCCCTCCAAAATTCAAAAGTCAAACCTTTGAATTCAAAAAAAGTGTCTCTTTGATCCATGTGTCAAATCCCTTCAAATTTGAACATTACAAAGTGTCTAGATGCATTGAATCACTTAATGGGGTGTTTAGACAAGTGTTTCTTTAAAAAATTTGAGCAAAATTCGTCTCGAACCGCCTTAATTTGAAAAAGTCGCACCTGACGCATCATGCACCAGCGCTCTGGATTTTGGCGCATCATGCGCTAAACCCCAAAATTGGTTGTTTTTGCTCCAAATTTTGCTCCTTTTATCATTTTTGCTCCAAATGCCTAAAAATGCTCCAAATGTCTAAAAATGGTATCATTTTTGCTCCAAATGCCTAAAAATGGTATACCTGCAACAACAACATAAAAATATATTTTCTTAAAGTGCAATATCACAAAAAATATGCATAAAATGGTACTTAAAACAATATATTATTTTTGTGTATCAATAACTCCTATGGCCATGACAGTATACTCTACCTTTGTTGTTGATGTAGCTGCTACAATTTGTTTCTCACTCTTCCAAGAGATGAAGTGCCCCTATGAAAATGCAGTATCTAGAGGTGAATCTTCTATCATTTTCACAACTATCCCAATCATCGTCACAAAAGCCTTCAAAGTCTAAATGTCCATTATTGTTGAAGATCAACTTTCTCTGGTGCACTCGTTATATACCTCAGAATTAGATACAATGCATCCATATGACCCTTCATTGGATCATGCATGTAACAGTTCACCACGCTCACTACAAACGAGATGTCGGGTTGAGTGTGACACAGGTAGATCAGACGACCCACAAATTTTTGGTATCTCTCACGAACAACATGTTCTCCTGCCTCTACATTCAGCTTAGCCTTTTAGTCAATTGGAGAGACTGCATGTTTGCACCCCAACAAGTTTGTTTCCGTGAGGAGATCTAGTACATACTTTCTTTGTGACATGACTATCCTCTCAGGTCCACGGGTCACTTCAACCCCAAGAATGTATATAAGTTGTCTATGATTCTTCACTTTAAATTCATTGCCCAATATTACCTTTTGTTGAGAAATTTCTGCCTCATCATCATCTATGACAATATTGTCGTCAATATACATAAACAAGTATAGTAGTGTAACATTCATGTTATTGAAAGAATAATGTATTGTCAGCATTGATCTGTCAATATCTTGTGCCCACCATATATTTTCTACACTTGTCAGAGCAGAATTGAAGAGATCGCTTCAAGCCATACAATATCTTTCTAAGCTTACACACCTTGCCAACTATCTGAACTATACTAAATCTTGTTGGCATCTCATTAAATACCTCCTCTATCAACTAACCATAAAGAAATGCATTATTCACATCAAGTCGGTGTGACCTCTACGCACCATTCAGTGACAAAGAAACTGTTGTTCTTATTGTGCTCATATATTACTACTCGTGCAAAGGTTTCATTATAATCAATGTCATATGTTTGATTGTATCCTTTCATAATCAATCGTGCTTTATATCGCTCTTCCTTCTCTTTTGGAGTTTGCTTCACTGTGAAGATGTTTTTTTTTTGTTGATAATGGCACTATCTCTAATGTTGGTAACGACACTGCCTCACTCTCTGCCAAGTTTGTTCAACGACAAGCTGGTTGAGACTCCTCTATCCTACGTGCTCAATCTTCCGGAGAATAAACCATGGCACCTTCTATAGTGGAGTAATGCTTCTAGAGTAGGAGGATGTAGAGTCTTGATGATATTGGCTCTGTGATTGTCTTCTGGAATGACGGGGGTTGGAGTGGGATGTTTCTTTGTTGCGAGTGTTGTGTTTGGTGGTCATACAACAATTCTTGTAAGTATTTTAGTGGTGGGAATGCTCTCTTCCCACATACGACGCTAAATTGTTGTGTGTTAGAAAATTCACGAAAATAAAGTAGCAAATTATTGTCTTGGTGTGGTACAAAAATTTAACACACACTAAGAAGAGAGAAAGCAATAGATAACTAGAAGTTTTTAAGTGAAAAACCCAAAAGGGGAAAAAATATGGGGCCTAGCCTAGTTGAAGATTTTCACTATGGAAAGATAATTATAGTTGCAAACACTTGTCTCACAGGCAGAAAAGGGTTACTGAGTTTCCTAAGTTATAATGTTGATGTACTAATGAATTTGTTGTTGGGAACGGACAACGACCGATAGCGATACACGGCGTATGATTGGTGATGGTCGGCAGTGATTGACGGTGGTCGATGATGGTTGACGGTGATCGGCAAAAGTCGATGATGGTCGGTGGTGGTTAATGAATGTTAGTGATGGCCGATGACAGCCGACGGTGGTAATGCTGGACTTTAGCTCCTTCTTGAAGCATCAAGCTCTTCCTCAAATCTCAAACTGTCATCCTCCCTTCTGAGAGGGGTGAGGTTTTATTTACAGTATTTCAGATGCAATTAATGCAGAAATATGAACAACTTTGATCGAACGACCCGAAAATCTTCATTCGATCAGATGACGTTTGATGAATGTTTGAATGTCTTAAAGATGTTGTGATTGAGCAAACGTGATCTCGTTGGATTCGTCTTGTCGAGACACTCAATTTGATTATAAACTTACTAGATTTTTCATCTGTTAGACTTTCCAATTGTGACCAAAAAGCTTCCCAAAAAAATTAATGGTTTGATCGGGGCTCAATTTAGTTGGAACCGGATCAATATCGTTACCATTAGATCCACCTCGTCAAGCCGGTGAGTCTGACTATAAGTTCACTGAAATCGGAGCACTTGATGACTTTTAATCAAAATTTGAACATATTTTGCTCAAAAGGTTGTTCAAGATCCATGCTGTCTCTAGATTTGTGTCGGATGATGAAAATTAATAAGAATCGTGTGTGTGTGTGTGTGTCTATATATATATATATATAT